TTTTTTTTTTTTTTTGTACCAGGGATTGAACTCGAGTCTTTGTGCTTGCAAGGCAGGCCACCAAACCACTGAGCTAAATCCAGCCCCAAAGTGTACAGTTTAATGATTTTTACTATATTCACAGTTAAATCATTTAGTTTTTTTTCATTAAATTTATTAGTATATTTAAGGTAACAATATAGTTACATTCGTCTTTAGGATCTTGTACCTTTACACAAAGGTGGTTTAGTTTTTGAGATAAATTAGTAATTTCAAAGTCTCTTGCTACATTTTAAAACACAAAGACCAGCATACAGTTGTTCTTCAGTATCATGGAGAATGAGTTCTACAACCTCTTGAAAATATCAAAACCTATGGATATCCAACTTTCTTTCATGAAATGGCATGGTATTATAAATAACTTCTGCACATCTTCCCATATCTTTTAATATCCACATTACAGTACTTGTAACACCTGCCGTAGTTGGTTACATTGTATGGTTTGGGGAATAATGACAAGAAGAAAACTCTGTACATGTTCAATACAGATACAATTTATCACTGCATGCCTAGCTACATTTTCAGTCTGCTAATGCAGAACCTGTGTATCCAAAGGGCCATGAACATTCACTCAGATGGGAATGTTCTGAAATGGTAAGAGGAAATGAATCAGGCTATAGGTTCAAGAACTCTCTTGTTCTGTATAAATGATCCACAAAGCAGAACAATCACTGACTTAATAAATTAACTTGGGCTCACAATCTAGAACCTCAAGCCCTACTCATTTCTCTTGTGCTCCAGGCTCCAGAGAAAAGAAAGAAGAGCAGAAAAAGAAGGGTAAGTTTGCAGGAAACACTGAATCTACCCATTCCCAAAATATATACAGCTAGGGACCTGGGATTTAGCTCAGTGGTTCTGTCGCCTGCCTTGCAAGCACAAGGAACTGAGTTTGATCCCTGGCACAAAAAAGGGGGGGATATATATATATTTTTTTTTCTTTTTTTCAACAAATAAGAACCCAAACTGAGCACTAGTTGTCACTGTAAGAAATCACTGGCACAAGGTCATAAATTGTAGGTAGGGGAAGAGGGTTTTCCATTTTTCAGGATCCTCTTTGTGAAAGGCAACTAAAGGAGAAAATGGCACATCAGCAATAAAGCTGCCTAAATGTGAGAGATCAATAGATGCTGCTTCAAGCCTTGACCATGACAAGCACATGGAACTCCCTCACCTGCTTTAGAATGAGCCCTTCAAAGCACTCATAAGCACTTATACCATGAATGAATCACAGAGGATGCATTCCCAAAGGGTTATCTCAGTAATGCTAAAAAGTTTGTTCCCAATATGGAAGCACTAAAAAGTGCTGAACAGGTGAACTCTGGGAAGAACAGAAGTTGGCACTCAACTGCTATCAGACTTAAGGGGTTTTATTTACACTCTTGCTTATTATTCAATATCCAAACAACTGTGTAAGGAGGTCAGATTATAATCCCCATTTATGAATTATAATGCCAAGGTTCTGAGAAGTTTAGTAGCCAGCCTAAAGAGCAAGGGTCACAGCTAGAATCAGAGCCCAAACCCAGATCTATCTTAACTGCAGAAGTTGTGCCATTTCCAAAATTAGATGTTACTTCTACTTTACATGGCATATACAATGTATACATAATATATAGGGGGAAAGTAACAAAGGCAGATCAGTAAAATACAATTTTCACATCATTTCCACTTGGCCAGTGTACTCTGCTGACATTAGAAGATATTTATACGTATTTCAAAACTTCTTGTCTGTTTAAATATATATTACATTTTACATTATAAGTATATGAAAGGGTTTGAATTATTTATTTTTCTGATAAATTTCTAACCTATTACTCAGCAACAGTAATGAAATAAATGGTTTACTATAATGAATATAAACTAGAACTCTACTAATTAAACTCAAGTACATCTATATCCTAAATGTAATATATTTTCAGACTGTTGACTCTGAACAGTTACATGAGTTTGAAGTGCTTGTAAATTATTAAAGAATGATCAAACAGTTGTGAAGTAGTTTTAGAGTTAACTGTATTTCAATCATTTCCTGGAAAATTGGAAATCTACATATAACCTTTGGGATAAATGTTTATTAAAAATACACTATTTTCTGGCCATATTCAATAATAGAAGTCATCCTAATTCTACAACTTTTAATCAACGTAAATGTTAGAGATGCTATTTAACGGAAGTATCAATAAACACAGTTACATGTTCTACCTATTTTAATATATTATCCATAATTATGGCAGTACCTACAATGAAAATATATTGTTTTAGTATTACTATAAAAAGCCTTTTATCCAGTACTTAGAAATGGCTTCACAGTACCAGAAATTCTGCATAAAGCAAGACACAGCTTCTGCTTAAAAGAACTTGTGACCAACATAACTATTTGTTGGCCACAAATTTTGAGTGGTCAAACTGAATGCTACATCATCATCTAACACTACCATCAAAACACCTTTAGAAGATATGATACTGTTTAGTTCATTTTATAGATGAAGAAGCTGACCTTAATTTGCTAAGGATCATATACTTAGTAAGATTAGAACTTTGATTCTATATGACTCTAAAACTCATGCTTTTAAAATTAACTTAAAGATGCTGACACTAAACTAAATATTTAATGCATATTTTAAGGACTATATTTAAATTATAATCCACCTGGGGAAACTAGTAGTGAAAGAAAAATCTGAAAAGATGGTATGTTAAATAACATCTTCCTTTATTTTGTTTTTACTGTTCAAAGTAGTTTTTCAAAATTGTATAAATTATCATCAGTTTCCTGAGAAAAAGCACTGAGAGAAAGAAAATGTCTGATATCGTATAGTGGTCACTTAAGCAAATGGAAGCTTATATTACAATACAAAAGTTTCTAACTGGTTGATTAATTGAAACTTTTTCTTTAATTCAAAAAAAGGCTTTATCTTTTATAAAAAATGATCTTATACAGTTTCTTTGTATATATAAATATTAAGAGTATTTCTTTAAAAGTAAATAATCATACCTTTGCAAAGAGCAAATTAAGCTGCTTCCCTGATCCGTGGTACCCGCCCTGGGAAAGGAACAGTTTAACCTGTTCTTGAACCTGCTCTTCATCTAAGTGCCAGCAATTTTCATCGTCTATACTAGCACCTGCTGTTGGATCAGGAGCACCTAGAAATAGAAAGAAAAAAGTAACACATGTGCTAGATTAAAACACTGTGTCCAATGGATTTTGATACAAAATTGAAAATAATTAAGATTCTCTATGTATCTCAATTTCAATTATACACACAAACTTATGAATGAAAATAAATAGTAGTCACCCTTTTATTTCCAAGACTGTCTAGATTTTTGCTATGCCAAATGAAGATTACTCTAGGACTCAAAATACTTCTTTTTTAAAGATCAGAGTCTTTTGTTTTTAGAGATGAATTTATGGGCTTCTTTTAAAGAACTCATATGTCACAAAACGCTTATATATATATAGGATATTTATAAAGTTCTACTGTGTAGGACATGCTAGAAAATTTGTTCAAAGACACAAGAAAAATATGAAAAAGTAAACTCAGCACAGTACTTCATTCTACTATGTTGATTCACAAAGCTTTCACCGCTATCTGCTGCTATATAGACTACATGCTGACATAAGTCTTTGGTTGCAGAAAACTAAAGATTAAAAAGAGAAATCAAGCCACATGGGAACAGGCAGTGCAGCTGTTGTACTAAACCAGGTTGTAGTATCACCTTGCCAAACTGCATAAATATTTTATTGCTGAAGTACACACAAAAGATAACAGCTATATAATAAGCCATATGTACAGAATACCTTAAAATTTAAAAAGTACCCAGATATTTAGATAAAAACTAAATTTCATTATTTGTTAAGAGCAAAGTGATAATTTAAGGTCCAAGATTGATAAAAAATAGAAAAATTAACACTAAAAATCCTTCAACCCTCTCCCATGTTTCATCTCCTTATCAACCCTAAAAAAAATACATTTGTAGGGGTAGTTTTATATTACTTTTCTTGTCTTTTAATGATCTAGTACAAACTCAGCAGGCCAAGAAAATAATCACTAACATCTTCTTAGTACCAGGATCTATTCGACCTTAGAAGAGGAAGACAATAAGCTCCTTTCCTGGAATAGCATTACATGCATTCATTCAGCCAGACCGCGTATTTACCAAGTGCCTAACTCATCAGCTTCCTTCTTTGCGAGACTTGGGGTCAGAAATGGACACAAAAATAGACATAATTTCTCTTCTCACTCAATTTAGTTTAGTTCACAGGCTTTCAGATTTTTTTTAACGGAGTACCACACACAAAAAAATACATTTTACCATCATGCCTACTATGCTTTTGTGTCGGTAATACCTATTAATCTGAAGGAAAAATCTGATGGGGATAAAAAAGAAATATTCAGACTACAAAAGAAGCAGTCTGTCAATCTGTATTTGGCCTCATTTTTAGAATGAGAAAAAAAGCCTGTCAAAGTCTTTTAAGCTGATTCCATAACCTAAAAGGATTGTAGCCCACTATTTGAAAAACAACTGTTCTATGTATGCAAGTGAGGTATCAATCTAATAATCATATATGTATGAAATAATAAATTATAATTACTCAAAATAAGAGGCCAGAGGTCTGGAAAACTACAGGAGAGAGCTGATTTGGCTTGGGAATACTGAAATAAGCATGTTTAGGGGGAAAAAATGGCACTGATCTGAGATCTGCCAAAAGTAGATTAGAAGCTAATTAGAAGTTACCTAAATGCAGAGAAGAGAAGAGATGAATCTACATGTGAGGTGAAAAAAAGAACTGTGCAAAGTCCTTAGGTGGAAGAAATATGGTATAGGGAGGAAATAAAAGTTAATGCAACTCATGAGTAAAAGATGAGGGCAGGAACAATACAAACTAATCCTAGTGCACCAGAAAAAGGCTAGATTCTGAGGGCTTTCACTGTTAAAGAGTTTGGTTTCTTTTTCCCTGAGAGTAATGAGTGGGAATTCATGATAAGGATACCAGAAGTAGAAGAAAGGCATGCTCTGGAATAGACAGTAAAAGATGTTATGCCTGATAGGCATCAATTTCAACATCCCTACCATGAAATATTAATTATGCAGCCATAAAAAGGAATGGAGAGATTCTTCATGTACTACAATGGAAAGATGAGAGAAAAAATCCAGAGGAAGAAAATATAGACTTAAAATACATCACCTTTAATAGAAAAAATGGTTTCTGTGGGTGTATTTTGCTGTGGTGGAGAGGTCTTGGAGACTGAACCAGGGCCTAACACATGCTAAGCAAGTGTTCTACCACTGAGTTAACATCTTCAGTGCACTTATGTATGGTATTAGTATCTCCTCACTGGGGGAGGATATGTAAAATGAGTAACTTAGTTATATGGGGGAAAGAGATTCGTTGAGTCCTTTCATACTTTAAAATTTTTAGAATCATGTGAAATATGTTTATGTGTCTAAAAATGTAACTTCATCTGAAATGTGGAAGATGGATTTGGGGAAAAAAATATGTAAGAGAACAATGACAATGCTATTTTGATAGTCTATACACAGGATGAAATGGTAACTTGAAAACTATAACAAGGAGAAGAGATAATCTTATGAGAATTTACGACATAAAGAAAAGAGACTTGGCAAGGAAATGGCTCTGTGATGTAGGGTACAGCAAACTGTGTGAAGAGACATGAGTTTTTGGATTAGACTAGATGGAATACTGGGCAATTCACTGACTCAGAGACCACCAGAGAAGGACCAGATTTGCTGTGGAGGGGCAGGATTTTAAGCCGAGAGCTGGCCAAAATGTAAAGGCTGGATAAAAGGATGAGCAAGGAGGATAATAGGAACAAGTGCCCTCTTAAGGAAAAGCTTAAGAGACCAGTTCTTCCAGAAGTCGAGAGGAAAAAGTTATTCCACCTAGGGACTGGGCAACTAGGCAGATGTTTAAGAGCAAGGATTTTATCTGCCCTGTTCATCACCGCTGCCACTACTAGGGAGTGAAATTCTTAAGAGGAAAACAGAGAAAGGCATGTAAGCATTTTTTTCCTCTAGGAAAAAGGACTCTTATGTGAAAAGTTAAGAATCACTGTAAAGCATCCTTACATACAGTCTTTTTTTCCTCACAACATCCCTGGAGGTGACTACAGCTCATAATCCCCATTCTATAGAAAGAGAGAAATAGGCTCCAAATGGTGATGATTTGTCCACAGCCACACTGCTAACTCCATTCTTCAGGTTCACCCTGCCAAACACATCCCAGAACCATGAAGAGTTAAAGATGAGCCCTAAAATTATGAAGGGTTGTCAACCTTAAATCAAAGATAAGTTTAAGGGAGAGTGTGCTTGTTAGTATGATTCTTATATGAAGCTTTATAGAGACATAGGCTGTGAAGAGTTAATTACTAGGTCTACAAGTATATCCCACAGGAATTCATGGCCCCTATGTCACACATCCCCAATTCTAGGGGCACCTGCACAAAAACACTCTGCACATAAAAAGCTGTATACTCTTTACATAAATGTATCAGAAAGACTTTGAAAACAAATGAACTACAGGGTCAAAACATTTTAAGTTTTTCCCAATATCTTGTTAAAACTATGCTTGGAAATGACACGTTCCTCCCATTTTCTTTTAGAGAAAATTTCAACTAGCTAGGGATTAACCATTTCCACTATTCCTTCTAATGAACTGAGATTTCAAAAATCTACTTTCTTTCCTCACAAATAGTGAGTTTCCCCAATGTTTGTGATTTTCCCAGCTGTTTCTTGGTTGGGACTCCCACCTCAATACAGTTCTGGGAGTCCTGTCTTCAAACTGCTTGGTGAGGGGCTGACTGCTGTGGCAGGGCTGAAGGGACTCACTCAGTTGCTTGACTCAGTCTCAGCAGGACGTGGAGCTTCAGTTTACCACAATAGTAGCCAAGTGTTTAAAGTGGATCTGAATTTAAATGGGAAGAAATCTGAATTGGCAAAGTGACCTACATTTGAATACAGTACAAAAACTTCAGGATATACTGAATTTTTAATTCTTTCAAGCTAAGAGCAAGAAGTGATAAGAAGGGTCCAGGAGTAACTCTTCACTTGAATTACATAGTGCATTTTTCCTTAAAATCAAATAGGTTTTAACCTATTACATTTTTAAAAGAAATGTTAGATTTTGAAGTTGCTTCAATGGACCACTTAACTTTCATACACAGATTCTGTTTCTTGACCAAATAGACATATTGAATAGCAAATGAATAAATGCATAAATTAAGTTTTCTCAAGTTTTTAAGATACTTACTTCTGATTTTAGTTTTTTTGGTAAGCTACTGTCAGAACTTCTTGAAAGTATCAAGGAGAGAGGAAAGACACCAGAAAATGGCCCATGAATAAAATTTCACCACAAATAGTCTATAGTCTACAAAGTTTACACACAAGTTGAAAGGATGTTCAGCATTCCTACATCTGCATTAAAACTCCGAGACTTCAAGTACTAGGCACAGTTTCGAAAAATCTGAATCTGGGTCAAGGATTTAGCTCAGCAGTTCTACCACCTGCTTCACAAGTGCAAGGTCCCCGGTACCAAAAAACAAAACAAAACCCTGAATCCTCTAAGCAAATTATGTGAGGCCTCAGGCCTCCATTCCTTAACTTTAAAATTCTACAAATGCAGGAATAAAAAATTAACTGGGAAGTGAAAATTAGAAGTCTGCTCTTGAAATATAGAATACTTCCTAAATTATAAGAATGCAAGATAACTAGTGAATGAATAAAATTTAAGTTTGTATAGTATTAACATTCTTACCTAAAGTGCATATTCATATATTAAATTTTAAAGGTAGGCCAGGAATGATGGTGTACACCTGTAGTCCCAGCACTCAGAAGGCTGTGGCAAGAGGATCACCATGAGTTCAAGGCCAGCCTAACTACACGGCAAAATCTTGTCTCTTCCTCCTCCTCCTCGTCCTCATCATCATCACAATGCTGAGGTTTAACGATTTAAATCCTAGTATGTCTTGATTACATGCATTTAAGTGCTGCCTAAGTCTCATATAAAATGTAAGATTTGCAAAATGTATTTCTACATGTTGGTAGCTATCATCAAAGAGAAACTTCTCGGCATTTGAGAAAGGAATAAATACAAAGAGGAACATAATTAATATATTTATATATTT